GTGCAGGAGGCAGCCAATCAATGATTCTCTCACCATTGATGTTTTTCTCTATCCCTCACCCTTCCTCTCTGAAATCAATAAAAATATATTTAAAACAAAACTTCTACGGAAGCCCTCTGTGGCTTAGCTGGTTGGAGTGTCATCCCCTACACCAAAAGGTGGTGGGCTCAATTCCCGGTAAGTGCACATATCCAGGTTGTGGGTTCAATCCCCACTTGGGGGTGCAGAGGCAACTGATGGATGTTTCTCTCAATAAAAAAAATTTATGGGCCCTAGCAGGTTTGGCTCAGTGGATAGAGCAGTGATGGCGAACCTATGACACGCGTCAGAGGTGACACGCGAACTCATTTTTTAAAAATTTTTCTTTGTTAAATGGCATTTAAATATATAAAATAAATATCAAAAATATAAGTCTTTGTTTTACTATGGTTGCAAATATCAAAAAATTTCTATATGTGACACGGCACCAGAGTTAAGTTAGGGTTTTTCAAAATGCTGACACGCCGAGCTCAAAAGGTTCGCCATCACTGGGATAGAGCGTGGGCCTGATGACTGAAGGGTCCCAGGTTCAATTGTGGTCAAGGGCACGTACCTCGGTTGGTCGAGGTGTGTGCAGGAGGCAGCCAATCAATGTGCCTCTCTCACATCGATGTTTCTGTGTCTCACTTTCCCTTCCACTCTGAAAATCAATGAAAAAATATCTTTGGCTGAGCATTAAAAACTTTAAAAAATGTTATGGGAAATTTAAAGAAAATAACTTGATTTCTACAGGAAGGAAAACTTCCAAATCACTTATTTGGTGGCAATTAAAGGCTGCAAATATAGAAATTGTTAAATAAGGACTGTGTAAGATACTTTGAGAGCCCCAAAGCAAATCTATAATTATGGTTCCTGTCCCTTTTACCGTGCTCTTACTCCATACTTGCTGATGCTCCTGTGCCCCCCAGGAAGTAAACTATTAAATTCTTAGTCTTAATTCACAAGGACTACAATATTATGACTACTTGTTAGTATTAGAACATGACTAGTGGATAATGGTTTAACTAGTTATAGTCATAGCTTTAATTTCCTTTACATGAATTCCTGACCAAAAAAAAATCCAGAAATCAAGAAATGAATTTTAATACTGGACATTTTTTCAGTCAAGTTCTGGGAAAATTATTTTTCTGGATATTCCTATCAACACATTCTCATGTGCCCCTTTTCCCTCTGCTTGTGGTATTTCTGGTGGGCTAACTACACTCCAGCACTAACACCCCAACCTAGTCCTCAAGTCATGTGTTTATCTTGTCTAAATTCCTCTTTCATTACTCTCCCAGCACATAGAACAGTTATTGGAAAAATAGATTTGCTTAAATTCTTTGGAACAAAGCCTATACTTTTTTTTCTTAAGTACTTTTAAATTTATTTTTAATGAATTAATTCCAGTGGAAATAATTTCAATTGATGCAGAATTTAAAATGGTTCTGTTTCCCAGCAACAATCACACTAATCTAGGCTAATGGGAGGAGGATAGGAGAGGGAGAAGGCACAGTTTAAACAGAATTGAACTTTAAGATACAGTACAGTGAAAAAGTGTGTCTTTTAAAAGTGTTAGAGGGGAGGTCCATGGTAGTTAAGAGGAATCATAATGTGTATAAATGGAAGCTCCAAACCTTTTAAAAGATGTTTATCTAAAAAAAAAAGATGTTTATCTCATTGATTTGGACTAGTTAAGACTAAAGCATTTGTGCAATTCCTGTATAATTTCCAAACTAAAGTAGTAGGGTCTTAAAGTAATGAGGTTTTTACTATAATTACCTAATTATAGGTGATATAATTGTGCGGTTGTACTAATTATCCCTTAAAAGATTAGGAAACCCTTTGTTTTTAAATGTTCTAATTCTTTATTTTTTAAAAATTTTAAATATATTTTTATTGATTTCAGAGAGGAAGGGAGAAGGAGAGTTAGAAACATCATGAGAGAGAATCACTGATCAGCTGCCTCCTGCATGCCCCCCACTGGGGATCTAGCTTGCAACCCAGGCATGTGCCCCTGGCTGAAATCGAACCTGGGGCCCTTCAGTCCGCAGGCTGATGCTCTACCCACTGAGCCAAACCGGTTAGGGCAGGTTTTATTGATTTTTAGAGAGAGAGGAAGGGAGAGAGATAGAAACA